TAAAATTTTTACTTTAAAATTTTTTCTGCATTTTTTTTCTTTTTTTTTTTTTTGCTTTTTGGTACTGGGGATCAAACTCAGGTCCTTGCGCTTACGAGGCAGGCAGAGGAACCACTGAGCTAAATCCCCGACCCTACCAGAGATTTTTGAGAGGGTCTCGCTAAGTCACTAAATTGCCCAGGCTGGGTTCAAACTTGCAATCCTCCTGCCTCAGCCTTTGGGAGGCTCCCAGAGCTAGGATTACCAGCATGTGCTACTACACCCAGCCATTCTATAGGAGAGGAAACTGACATTCAGTTGAGTAATCTGAACTGTAGTTTACCTAACCCCAAGTATTTCAGTGCTCCCTTCATAGCACCATTTTCTAATTTTTTTTTGTACCAGGGATCGAATTCAGGGCCTTGTGCTCGCGAAGCAGGCTTGGTGCCAGAGCTAAATCCTTGACTTTTTTAGTTTTTGAGATAGGGTCTTTACCGTGTAGTTCAGGCTGGCCTTGAAGTCATGGCACTCATCCTGCTTCAGCCTCCCAAGTGCTGGGATCACTTGGCATTTTCTAACTCTAACTGAATAGTGAATCATTCTTGGGTATATGACAAGCCAGTTAGGGGGCCAGGAGAGCTGCGTGTGGTAGTGCCTGTCTAATCCCTTAGCAAGCTGAGGCAGATCAGTTCAGGGCTATCTTGGGCTATGCAAGACTCCTCTCAAAAAGAGAAAGCCTAGGTGGAATGTATTCCTTTTGCTCCGCCTCATATTCACCCATTCAGTCTCCATCTTACAGCTATCCAGTCTTTAGGCTGAGATGAAATCTATAAATCTCTCTTCCTTGTTTTCCTTTTTTGTGCATGTCATCATCTCCCTTGTATTCCAGTTATTTTGATTAAACATGAGCCAGTTCTAGTCCTTTTTTAAAACCAGAATGAGATATAAATATTAGGTGAATAAACAGTTACGTCTGCTTGTCAGACTGGGCTTTCATAAATTAGGAGCTGTGTTTCACTTATCTCTGTATTATTCTCTGCCACTTAGTTAAGTGCTGAGTTTGGTGTTGCTGGATGCTGGGGAATGTTTGTGTGGGGCCATTTTATTTCTTGAAACATGCAGTTTGGATAAACATAAAAAACTTATGCCCTTCCCCATGACCAGCTGAGTCACCTTTTTTTCCCAGTACTGGGAATTCAGGACCTTCCACTTGCCAGGCATATGTGCTTTGCTACGCTTTTTTAAATTCCTGGGCTTGGGTCACTATTTTTATTTATTTTGGTTTTTTGAGACAGGGTCTATTTAGTTGAGATTGACCTGGAACTGTGATTCTCCTGCCTCAGCCTCCCGAGTGCTGGGATTACAGGTGTGCACCACCATGCCCAGCTGGGTCACCATTTTTAAAAGCAGTGTTACTTTTTCATCTTCAGTGACCTAACCTGTCCTATAAATACCATTCTCTCTAAACATAGTTAAACAATGTATAAAGAAATGCTTTATAAACTGTTATAATGTCAAGGTTTTAAAAAGTGGTTCATCAGAATGTTCTTGGTCATCTCATTCAGGAACTGCAAGAGGAAATGGAGGAACGAAAGAGGCAGTTAAGAAGCGGGGTGCAACTCCAGCAACAGAAGAACAAAGACATGGAGCAGCTAAGGATCGGTCTTGCGCAAGAGCTCTCAACATATAAGTCAGTTTTTGCTGCCACCCAAGTCCCACCTAACACTGGCTGAGGAGGCGGTGGGGAGGGCTCAGGGAAATTCACTTAACAGTGTTTAAAAAAGAGATGATTTTTAAATTGCGCTCATCCAGGAACAGATGGAAATGGCTCTCTCTTTTTAAAGGGCTATGCTTCCCAAAAGCCCGGAACAGGCTGATGCTCCCACTTCTCAGGCAGGTGGAATGGAGAAACAGTCTCAAGGTGACCACTGTGGGTAGAGGAGTGGTGTTTACATCATTACTGCTTAATACTAACTAATGCCTTTTTTGGTATGGAACTACTAGTGATTGAACCCAGAGCCTCATGCATGCTAGGCAGCAGACACTACCATTGAGCTACATCTCCAGCTTAATGCCTTAAAAAACTTTAAGCAACTAATAATAACCTATTTAATGATAAGCTGTGACTCTGAAATGGTTAGGACAAATATTTGAGTTCACTTGCAAGAAGTCAAAATATGACCTAATTATTACTAGGAATTCTGAATTAGATAAGGCACCTGAGCTTTGGGCATTCTCACATCTTGCTGTTCAATTTCCTTAATGTATCAGAGAAGTCAGTTGTGTATATAATTCACACCATGAGAGAAGCAGCCTACAAAAAGGCTAGATTAAGCCATATGGTAGCACACACCTGTAATCCTAGCACTTAGGGAGGCTGAGGCAAAAGGACTGAGTTGAAGGCTAGTCTGAACTATGCAGCCAAAAAACCAAAATTACTAATAGTCATGAAAAAAAAAAGCTGAGGATGGTTTAATGGCTGAGAGAACTTCTTAGTATGTGGGAATAACCAACATACTTTTTTTTTTTGGTACTGGGCATCAAACTCCACAATACTTATTTTTTTGGTACTGGGGAACTCGGGTCCTTGTGCTTGCTAGGCAGGCAGCGGAAATCACTGAGCTAAATCCCCAGCTCACTTAATCTATTTATGAATTATTCAGGATCCTTACTGTTTTACCAATATTCTCATTCATATCTATATCTATATGTTTTTTGAGATAAGGTCTTGCTATGTAGTTCAGGCTGGCCTTGAACTCCCAGTGTCCCTGTCTTAGCCTCTTGGAGCATTGAGATTACAGGTGTGAGTCCCAACGCCCAGCTCTTCATATTTTTGTTTTGTTTTTTGAGACAGGGTCTCACTATGTAGTTGAGACTGACCTGGAACTCACTATGTAGTCCAGGCTGGTCTCGAACTCATAGTGATCCTCCTGCCTCAGCTTGACTGCTGGGATTACGGGCATGCACCACCACGCCTGGCCGTTTTTCATATTCTTATAAAGTAATAGATTCTCTTAGATAAACTAAGAAGTCTGGGGTTGGAGCTTAGTGGTAGAGTGCTTGCTTAGAAGACATTAGGTTTGATCTCTAGCACTGCAAAGAACCCCACAAAAAACAAAATAAGGATAAATCACTGTCAAGTCATACAGTAGTAGATACCCATACATTTCCTTTATTTCATATTTGGATACAAATTTGTAACTCCCCCCCCCCAATCAGGGGATCAAACTCAGGTCCTTGCACTTGGGTGTGGTGCCACTGAGCTAAATCCCCAGCCCTTTTGTAACTATTTAGTCTTTTTTTTGGTACCGGGGATCAAACTCTGGACCTTTCGCTTGGAAGGCAGGTGGCAGAACCACTGAGCTAAATCCCCAGCCCTATTTTGCCTTTTTGTAATGTTCTAGAATTTTCAATTACTCTGATATAACTGATTATGCTTACCATTTGGGAGACTATTATAACTTTATAATGAGGTCAAGGATCTGTTAAACATGTAGACAGTAAAAAAAAAAATGACTATAAAGAGATGAAACTAAATCTCAATTTTTTTTTTGGTACCCGAGATCGAACTCAGGACCTTGCACTTGCAAGGCAGATTGTAGAACCACTGAGCTAAATCTCCAACATCTCAAACATCTTTTGTTTGACAGGGTCTCACTGTGTAGTTCAGGTTGGCCTCAAACAAAGCCCGGGCTGGCTTTGGACTCACAGTGACCCTCCTGCCTCAGCTTCCAAAATTGCTGGGATCACACGTGCAATACCATGTCTGGCTCTCTCAAGCTTTTTTTTTTTTTTTTTTTTTTCATTTTGGTTTTTTAAGACAGGGTCTATGTTGTTGAGCCTGACCTGGAACTATGTAACCCAGGCTGGTCTCGAACCCACAGCGATCCTCCTGCCTCAGCCTCCCAAGTGCTGGGATTACAGGCGAGCACCACCACACCCAGCCTCTCAAACTTAAATTACTGTGTGAAGTTAACCTGAGCACTGAAAACAAACTACCCCCTCATCACTATCACATAGGCAATGATTTGTTTTGTTTTGCAAATAGGAAGCACTGTTTACCAGGGGAAAGTCATCCCTACTTATATGTAATTTAGTATAGTAATCTCTCCCAATATAGCCTGTAATATTTAGAAATTGGAGATTCATTATTACATAAAATTTTCTTCTGTATTATTTCAAGTTAGAGAAAGCATAAACTTACTCTTTTTTTCTCTAAATCTTACAGGGGCTGTTTAGAACTGTATGGCAGAATCTGCAACACAGAAACCACCAAAAATACTTCCTAGTAAAGATTTAATTACCAAGTACCCTTTGGACATACCTTTTCCCAAACAGACAAGGAATGCCAGAAATTGGCAAGCAAATGACCCTGTGAAAATTGCAAATACTGGCTAAAGTGATTCTATCATTGGCTGGTAAAACACAAGCCAACTCTTAGCTGGACTTTACTTCATAGGCCACTGGTATTTGCTGACCTAAATACGCTGAGGAATGGAAAAATGCCTCATCTTCTAGCAGCAACCCTCACATGCATGCTGAGTAAAGGATAAGTGTACAGATATATCTTGCAGTATTACGAAGAAATGTATCTTGCCTTGTGTTGACCCAAACAAAAAACATTTGGGGAGACAAAAAGACAGCCAATTTTCCTTATATGGGTTTACAACTCAAATTCTTTTGTACCATGAGTGTTAAGATTTTAAATGAATCTGCTTATAAAGTTTACTTTTACTTAAGGATTATGCAGACTCAATGTACTCTTAAATTTTTTGTCAAGATAATTTTCACAGTACTCTAAGACAACCAGAAAAAGGAACCAATTCAGATCTGAATGTAATGCTTTAAAACCACTGTATTTAGATTTTTCCCAAATGACTGGAAGTGAATTTTGGGTCAGAATGATCTATTCAATCAAAAACAAAAACTGAATGACTGAAAAGAACTAATGATTTTATCTGGTTATGGCTCAGGATGATACAGGCTTTCAGAGCCTATTGTTTTGATCCTCTAAGTACGGGTCCCAGTGAAAACATACTGGAGAGAATCAACCTCTTTGTGAGAAGAGGTTCAAGAATGTTTTCCACATTTAAATTTTGCCTTAATTTCTACCATACTGCCTTTGAAGAAAGCCTGTATAGTTCTCTAGGGACTGACTTTTTAAAAAAAATGCCATTTTACCACAGATTAGTCTGTGCACCTCCAGCTGTGTTTTATGTCTTCAACTTTCCCTGAAATGGAGTAAATGTCTTTTCTATAGTTCTGGGTCTAATTCTATTCTTGATAGTCAAAGGTCATAGAAAATAACTCATCTGAACAACTGTTCTAAAAGTGATAGATTTGTATTTGATGGTGTTATATTCTAAATAAAACCCATCAGCATGGGGTTATGTAGAAAAGCAATTTATTCCATTATAAGCACTTACATAGTTAGTCATGAAGAGTAACAGGCCTGCTGGTGAAACAGGTCACCTAAAATGGAGATGGTATCAAACTAGTGGTCAAGGACTAACTTCTAAAAAAAAAAAAGCAACTCTTATCAAGGATTAATTTAATTTTAAAAACAAATATAAGCTATCAAATCAACCTTCTCAACTTGACAGTATACCTGAGGTACAACTGTCAGGTAAAAACATACATCTTTACAACTTGGTGGTCCCAAGTTAAAACAACAACAAAAAAAGAACAAATACCATTTCACAGAAAGGAAAGGAATAATATGGAAACAGATCAAGAAATACACTAACAAGCAAAATATATAGGGAAGGAGGAACGTGTAGCTTTGACTTAACTGAGTAAACCAAGAGGAGACTGGTCTACATAGGAAAAATGTGCATCCTGGAAAGTCAGGTATGAAGATTTAGAGTAGGAATCTATGACTTGATTCTCCCCTAATTCCTGAATAAAAATGACATCTTGCAGTACTCATACTTCATGGCTCAGACACCTAACCTCACTTGGCTCTATTCCTTACTCAACTTTAGCTTTTACTGAAACATGTCTGAAAAACTTGGGGACGTATCTTAAGAAGAAAAATAATCACACATTATATTCCCCTTTCTGTAGCTACTTTAGACCTGGGTTAATAGAAAATTCTTGAAGAAAATTTAAATATAAGTCTGTGGCTTTGCTGAATCAAGTACCCCAGTTAATATTTAGAAAACACCCACTTTTTGGGCCAATAGTATTATTGGTGGTACCTATCGTGGAGGGTCAGCTGAACAAAGTCTGTATGTCTCAAAACCAGTGTTAAATCAATCTCAGGGTTGAGAGGGAAAAATGGGAGTCTAAAATCATGAGTGCAGATATATCTAGGATCCTTGTCCTTCTGGATCCACACTTCCTTCAGGGTCTTCATCATTATAAATGTTCTCTGCCTGCCCAAAAACAAGAAAAAAGAATATTTAGTAATCATGAAGGCCACTTTTTGAACTCAAGGTTCCATTAACAGATTAGGCCAGGGAACCAGATAACAAATATCTTAGGATTGTAGGTTATATAGGTGCTGTTCCAACTTTTCTACCATTGCCACAGAAATTCTGTAACAGGCATAGCTTATGAGTTGGTATGGCTACATTCCACTAAAACCATACAACAACTGACCACAGGCCCTTAAATCTGGTTATTATTCACCTTCATAGCTAGCATTTTTGAATTCTTCAGTGGGATATTATTAACGGCATGATTACTACACAATACCTGATAAAAACTGAATTATAAGCTTGAACTGAAAACCTGGCCAAGTGTACTGATGCACACTTGTAACCCCAGAACTCTGGGAGGCTGAGGCAGGAGGATCCCAAGTTAAACCTCAGCCTGGGAAATTTAACCACTTAGTAAGACCTTGTCTCAAAATAAAGGGTCAGTGGGGGATTTAGCTCAGTGGTACTGCGCCTGCCTTGCCAGCACAAGGTCCTGAGTTTGATCCCCATATCACACCCCCTCAAAAAGGGGGGGAGGCGCCGAGAATATAGTTCAGCATGAAAGCTCTGGTTCAATTCCCTGACTGCCCAAACAAACAACATATCCCAAACTACATATTCCAAATATCAAAAGGACTGATTCTAGAGCCTCATACATACCAAGCAGGGAATCTTCCACTGAACTACAGCCCTAGCTCTGTTTTTTACTATGTCTGTGAGTTTTAACTTTCATTTTTTGTTTTAAGGAACCAAATGGAAGACATGAATAGGCAAGGTAAGGGCCTGAGGGCTTCCATAAAACCTCTGGGCATGCCACCCTCCTATCATTTTAGTGTATTTGCCTAGGCTGCTATCTTTTCTTTCTTTTTTTAATTTTGGTGGTACCTGGGATTGAAATTAGGATCTTGTGCTTGTGAGGCAGGTGTTGGTACCACTGAGCTAAATCCCTGGCCCATGTACATAGGCTGAAGTTCATCAAATCAGTTTTTTTTCCCTCTGGGACAAGGTAAGCTATGTTGCCCCAGGTGGGTCCCTAAAGAGTCTTGCACATTAGCTTCCAAGTATGAGCTACTGCATCCAGAAAATTATGATATTTTGGGGGAAGTGAACCCAGGGCTGTCACACTGAGCCACACCCTCACCTTGTAAAAAAAATTTTTTTTTTGTGGACAGGGTCTTTTTTGTAGTTCAGGCTGGCCTGGAACTCTTGATGATTCTCCTGCCTCAGGCTCCCAAATGCTGGGATTCCAGGTGTGTGCTATCACATTACAGCGTGAATTCTCTTTATTTATCACACTACCTTCATTAAAAGAGCAAGGGGAGGCTGGGGGTGGTGGCGCATGCCTGTAATCCCAGCATTTGGGAGCCTGAGGCAGGAGGATTGCTGTGAGTTTGAGACCAGCCTGGGCTACATAGTGAGTTCCAGGTCAGCCTCAACTGTACAGTGAGATCCTGTCTCAAAAAAAAAAAAAAAAAAAAAAAAAAAAAGAGCAAGGGGCTAGCTGGTTGTGGTAGTGCATGCCTGCAATCCCAGCAATCTGGAAGTCTAAGGCAGGAGGATCATCCTGAATTCCAGGCCATCAGATCCTTTTTCAAAAAAAAGAAATGTAGCCAGACGCAGTGGCTAAACCAACAACAGAAAGTGGTAAAACACATGTAACACAATTGTTTTACTATTTAAAACTCCCTCATTTTTAAACTTTTTGGGTTGGGATCATAGGCATGTGGCACCACACCCAGCTTCCTTATACTAACCACACAGTGGTTTTGTTTGAGACAGTCTCACTTATGTATTATGTAGTTCAGAGTGTACTCAAAACTGAATGGTGGGTATTTAGCTCAGTGGTGCTGCCACCTGCCTTGGAAGCACGAGATCTCAAGTTCTATCCCCATACAAAAAAGTAAAGAAATAAAAAAAGAAAGAAAACTACAAAAAACAGCCGGGGCATGGTGGCTCATGCCTGTAATCCCAGCACTTGGGAGGGTGAGGCAAGAGAATCGCTGTGAGTTCGAGACCAGCCTGAGCTACATGGTGAGTTCCAGGTCAGTCTCACTACATAGTGAGAGCCTGTCTCAAAAAACCAAACAAGCAAACAAACAAAAAAAACCAGACAAACAACTTAATGGCATTCCTCCTGCCTCAGCCTCCCAAATTCTGGGATTACACTCATGTACCACCATGCCCAGCTTAGACATGAGTGTTTTTTGTGCTGGGGACTGAATATAGCCTCATGCACATAGAGTATGCCCTCTATTATTGTTCCATACCTTCAATCCAACTTTAGTCTTCTTGGTGCTAGGAAATGAACCCAGAGCCTTGTATGTATTAGTTCTTTCAGTACCACAGATTAAATCAGGGGTACTTAACCACTAAGCTACTTGGAATTACACTCAGGGAGCACTGAACCACTTTCCCATCCTTTTTATTATTTCAAAAAAAGGCTTCAATAAACTGGCCTGGCCTCAAACTTATAATTCTATCTCAGCCTCCCAAGTAGCTGGGATTGTAGGTTTCACTTTTATTAAATTCTGCTGTTTTGAAAATTCAAAAAAAGGGTAATTACCTAAAATTTAGTTTTAGTTAGTAAATATATTTGAAATCTAAGAGGTTTCACAGAGAAATGGCAATATATATCATGCTGTGGCATATTGTATATGTATTTTTGCATCTGTAAGGTAAATACATGTGGGAGAAACACTGCTGATAGATGATACACTAGACCTAGACCTATACCTATGGAGAACTCTTGTGGTTTTCAAGTCTGGTTAGCTGGGGAGACACTAGTGCTTAGAAAACAAGAGGAGTAAGTAGTAGGAAAGGGAAATGAGGAGGAACAAAAGATAAGTTTTGTTTAGCTGGGTTTAAAATAATCAGGGTACAATCAAATAAATATAAAGGACGGCTGAAAATGGCACTGTGCATATAAACACAGAAGTCACACCTGAACGTAAACTAAACTGAGATGCACTGCATTCATGAAGTAACATCAGTATGTGGGGCACCTCTGTACTCCTTGCATTTGGGAGGTGAGGCAGGAGGATTGCCAAGAGTTCAAGGCCAATCTGAACTAAATAGTGAGACCCTGTCTCAAAAAATAACACAAAAATAAACGATGCTATGTCTCATTCATCTAACGTTTCCAAAGAAATGACAAAATACTTACCATCTGCCACACTTGCATGATATTGTCTTCTGATACAGAACAAATCACCCAAGGTTCATTGGGATTCCAGGAAAAATCAGATATCTTGGCAGTGTGACCACCATGAATAAACTGAAAGAGTTAAAACAAAGACATAAAATGCAGACAAAGGATGTTAAACTACAGACTACCTCAATATGGTTCAATGCTTATAACATACCAACAATTCAGGTGGGCCATCTTCTGCATCTTCTGGAGATTGCTCTTCTCCAATTTTACTAGCACCAAAAGATAAGTCAGAACAGATTTACCCTGAGTAATTAACTTTGAAAAGTGTGAATAAAGTAACTTCATAAAGACAGTAAATGATATAAAAGTTACCTTAAATCCCAAACATTCAGTCTGCGATCAGTACCACTGGAAGCCAGAATAGTCTCATTGTGAGGTGACCACTGAACCTATACATATGCAAGAAGAAAAAAAAATCCATGAACCAGAAAACTGAACAAAAAATACCTAAAATTATACTCAATTTAAAAATTTTAGAAGCTGAATGTGGTGGTGTATGCTTCCACCTGGGAGGCTGGGGTAGGAGTTTGAGGCAAGCCTATTACACAGGGAAATCCTGCCTCTAAAAACCAAAAGTCGGGCCAGGGAGTTAGCTTAGCGGCGCTGAGCCTGCCTCATAAGCTCAAGGTCCTAGCACCAACCAAGCAACCAATCAACCCAAAAGTAAATAAAAGGAAAAAACCAGTAGGGTGGGATATGCTGTAATTTTAGCATTCTGGAAAGCTGAGGTAGGAGCACTAATTGCAAGTTTGAAACCAGCCTAGGCAACTAGGTGAGCATGTTTAAAAAAAAAAAAAGATTAAAAAAAGGACTTGGGGATGCTTTTTCAGAGGTGAGAAGACCCTGAATTCAATCAGGAGGGAGGGGAGTGGTTAAAGTACTGTACACAATCAAAACACTAACATCAAAGAAACTCATTTTATGAAATAATCCATCACTAGAGAGGAATCAGCTTCTGTTCCATTTCATCTTACA